TAATCTTTTGACATCATTTGACGTTATCGAAAAGCGCATCATTTAGTCTTGAGTATGACATCATCTGAACAGATGGAGCACTATGCAAAATTGTTTAAGTCGTTTAAGTTGTTGGAATGTGCTAGCAGGTGTAAAAATAACGAAATGAGTGGTGAGAACATTGAGTTCTTGAAATATGGCTGAAGCCTGGAACATACTGGCATGGGTTGCAGATCCCGATAACGTATACGAATGCCATTAGAATGCATACGGACTTATGGGACGCACGAAATATCGCATGAGAAACTATTGAGCTCACCAGAATTATTGCGATCGCATTGTGCATTTCTCAGCAGTCGTGCCCCATCCTCGTGCGTTGGATCACATTCGATTTTGCATCGTTCTGCCAAAAACAAAAAATAAATTTTTGAGTTTGCAAACAATCCTCATGGTTAAGAAGCATTCCATGGATTCACATATTGAAAGCATTAGTGGAAAATCAGCAAATAATTGAAGCTGTTCATCGAGTTGGAGATCAGAAAATGGAATTCTCAGACTCAACAATGATCTTTGAGGCCATAAATACCATAGATACCATGAATCACAGGACTTGCATTGTTTGTTTTCAAGTATTCAGTCATTGTGCATCGAAGGTTCACGAATTTGTTACGTTTCAAAAAGCGAAAGCATTAGTTGAATTCTAAATCCAGAAGATAATTGTTCTAAATCCAGAAGATAAAAAGGAAATAAGACCAGATTGGACGGAGAATATCGCATATGTTGCCGTGATAATCGATGCATGCTGCTTGATCGTATTCATTGTTTTTGAGCCAATCGCCACACGGATTTCCCTTCAAAATCATAACGAACACATTTCATAACTTATAATTAAACACCAAAATGTGCACAATGAAAAACGGATGGGTGTATTTTAGCGGGTCTTACATACATACTTACAAACTTTTCTAAGCAGTTCACACACTTTCCTGATGTTGGAGGAAATGCTTTTGCTGAGGATTTTGAAAAAAAATAAGCAATCGCTAATGGAACCAGAGGATATAAATGGCTTAAAAATGGCAGTCATGATAATACTATGGTGGTAAAAAACTGATCGTTAGAGAGATCGAATGTGTAGAGCTCGGTGACGCAGAGCCACCGCTGTAGCATATGTAGCATATGCTGGAAAACGTAGATACTTCTCGTAAACCTACGTTATTGCAGTAGTTTTAAGTAGCACTCCTGTAACTGTATATCAATTTGGATGGTCAAAAATTACGGTCCTGCACATCAGTTATATCATTCAGATAGCTCGAATTAAAATCCGTCCACTTATTGTGGTTTATACNACGGTCCTTCACATCAGTTATATCATTCAGATAGCTCGAATTAAAATCCGTCCACTTATTGTGGTTTATACTTATAAATAATTTTTCAAAATTATTACTGCTGACCCATCCACCATATTGGTATTACTATTCGAATCTAATGTGAATAAATCCAGTAAGTAGAGAAGTACCCATTTGTTGCCGGAAGTGCCCACTCAGCAAAGCGGCCTTCTGAATCTGTTGCTAAACCAATGGCAGTTGCATTGCATGATGTGATCGGAATCGCTGATTGTATGGCACTGATCGCATCGATTAGTAATTCACTGCTCGTCAGTGAACATTCAGTCACGATTCGTGCCTTCAGTGATCGCCACTCGGCGATTGCATACGGATCAGTTGCATTCTCACCGCACACAAAGATGAATTCACGTAATAATCCCACCTCGTAAACCAAGTATCCATTAATCTGAATTATATACTTACTTTAGGTACTGAAAGTACTTGATACTGCATTATCACATTAGGTATTAGTACTTTAAAATGTAAAATTTTTGTCAAAATAACACTGCTTATGCTTTCCGCTGTGCCCTTAATCAGACTACCTCATACAACAAATCGTTAAGAGAATTCATTGATGTATCGGAGTTTGAATGCATGATTCGACTGAAATTTCTAGCATCAATGTTCCAATCCTTCAACTTTTTTTACGTTGTACCTTATTGATGACATGATCTACAGTGTTCAATTCTGAACAATTGTTATCTGCTTTGCGTAGAAAAATTCTTCAGGAATAAAAAATTCAGCCCTGATAATGGAACACCTCAAAAATTTTCGCTAACAATAAGTAAAACTTTACAAAAATTTCAGTGAGTAACAATATACTATACCAGTTTCGGTGTGACAATATTGGCGTATTCGAAACGATGCGCACTGATACGTTTGGCAAGTATCGTATCAGTTATGTGCGATTTGATAGATTTCAAATATCCGATTGAAGATAAGACTGTCTTTTGTACAGACTGAATCTCGATCGATCCTGACGTTGCTGTTGGCATTCCCACTGCTGATGACACTTCAGAGTGGCCTTTTCGCTCTTGAATGAGATTTCGTTGCATGTTCATGTTTGCGGATGAGTTGTAAACACTCGCTGTCGTCTCCGCCAGAATAATCAGAATCAAGGAATATATCGATCTCAGTTCCATTGCACTATCCAATCAATATATATTTACTTTCCCTGGAAATTCTCCAGTTGTGAATTCTTCAAAGCAATATATGTGAATAGCAAAACATGTGACGCGTGTAACTTCATATACTTTGCTATTTCATCTGCAGAATTATTTGGAAGAGACAAGACAGATTCTTACCGATATTTTGCTGAAACATACCTATTATTGGCTCAGGGTTTGACGTGTTTATATTGACAATTACAGGTAACTGTCACACTGACGAGTTAATCCGATGTGATCAGCTCTATAGTAGAAGTCAAGAACATTTTACTATGAAATTGTAGCAATGAACCTTCCAGATACAAACTCGCTTATAATTAGAGTCATTTCATTAACCAGCTCTATCTAATAATGACGTTGGTGACATTGTCCGTCGCATGACAGTTTCTCTAGCTGCATTCTATTATGTCCTTCTTCTGAGTG